AATTCTCTTGTTGTTTAAAAAATATCCCAACATTGTTAAAGTAGAATTGCAGTCATTTAAATGCACCAGTCTCGTAAAAGCTGTTCGTTTTAACTCACGGCTTTCTTTCACCGGCTCCGGAGCAGGACTCTCCGCTTCGTCCTCGCTCGATGACGGCGAAGTATCTCTGGCCATTTTTAAAAGTTCTGGATCAACCACAGCCCGCTAAAATAAAGAGTTTTCCACCTCGGCACACATGCCTTCGGAGGATGCACATGTGTTAACGCAAAATGAACTCTGACAGAAAATAGCTTCACTTCCGGGTCAGATCCGGGTGTAGTTCCAAGTCCGGGCCTGAGCGGAGCGTTTGCGGGCGCTTCGCGGGACGGAAAAACTCGAACACCCAGAATCCCTTTCGCGGTGTTACGTAACGTTCCAGCGTACGTCGGGAAAACAGTTGACAGCAGCGGGGAGTAGGCCAAAGTGGGTAAACAAAACTGTTTGGAGAGAAAAAAAAAGGCGACAACGGCAGTTGCTTTAGAGCTCGAAACGAATCCATAACATGTCTAAAAACGTTATAAATCCGCGTTAGACCCGTTGAGGCAGGAAATTGGCTAAAACAGAGAGGCCGTGCACCTGGAACGGCTAAATAGGTTAAGCTAGCTAACCTGCGCTAGCACGGTAGGAAGCTAGCTGGCTCTGGGCTAGCCAGGTAGGCGTCCGGCCATGTCGTCCCCGTCCTCCTCCTCCAGGCGCCAGTGGTGCTACCTGTGCGACCTGCCCAAGATGCCGTGGACCGTGGTGTGGGACTTCAGCGAGGTGGTGTGTCGCGGGTGCGTGAACTACGAGGGCGCCAACCAGATCGAGTTTCTCATCGCGAGCGCGCGGCAGCTGAAGCGCAGCCACGGCATGCAGGACGGCAGCGTCCGCTCCCCGGGTCCCGTGCCCAACAAGCACGGCTCTTCCTCCCGGGGCGAGGCCGCGGCGGACGGGGGCAGGTCGCACCCGGACCGCTTCGACCGGGGCGGGAGGGGGGACGGCGCCGGGTCGGCGCTGCGCGTGCCGCCCAACGGGCTGCACCGCGACGGCCAGCCGCCCCCGGAAGTCCACCGGCAGAGCCCCGGCGGCAGCCGGAGACCCATGCTGGGCGCCGCCATCCCCCCCAGCCTAGTGACTCAGAGCATCGCGGGGATCCCGCACGGGCTGCTGGCGGGCATGCCGGCGGGCCTGACCGCCAGGACCGCCCCCATGAGCAGCCCCATGATCTTCCCCGCCCCGGTGCTGGCCGAGATGAGCCGCCGGCAGCTGGGCTTGGGCATGGGGATATCCCCCTTCATCACCCCGGAGCTGGAGAGGGAGCTCAGCTCGTCCCAGAACCAGGGAAAGACCCAGGCCCACCCGGCGGCGGCCGGCAGCAGCTCCGGGAAAAGCACCAACCTGCCCTCATCATCCTCCTCCTCCTCCTTCTCCATGGCCGGAGGGGTCAGCCAGACCAGCCCCAAGCCGGCCTCCTCCCCGGCCCGCCAGCCGCGGCCCCTGACCTCCAGGTCCGGCGGGGAGCCCCTGGGGTCCGGCAGCTCGGCGGAGGCGGCCACCACGGCGGCGGCGGCGGCGCTGCCCAACAGTGGCGCCTCGGAGCTGGGCTCCGCCTCGGCCAGCAACACGGGGAACACGCTGTCCTGCACCCTGTGCCACGAGAGGCTGGAGGACACGCACTTCGTCCAGTGTCCGTCCGTTCCTGGACACAGGTCCGTGTTTGTCCTCCTCTGACATCGAGCTAAGACATTCCACGTCATGTAGTTTTAGAGATTTAGGCCGACATCCAGACTAGGGACGTCCCGATCCAGCTTTTTTTTTCAGGGTTAGTTTTAGAGTGTTAAATTTTGTTATTGAGACATTTCTCTGCATGTTAAGATGATGGAGCCTGAATTCCCTTAAAGGAATCGTCCCAAGAGACATATAAAGTCAAGTCTAAGTCTAATTCAATTTCAATGCCAGCCATAAAAACTAGGTATGTCCCGATCCAGATTTTTGCACTTCCGATCCAGTCCCGATCCCGGCCTATCAGAGCATGTCCTAAAGTTGAAAGTTATTTATCTACTTGTTGAACAGGGATTTACTCTGATAACAACTTAATGGTTAGGACACAGACAGACAGAATCAGAATCAGAAATACTTTAAGAATCCTAGAGGGAAAAACTATTTAGGATTAGGAGGTTTGGAGATGCTAATGCTCTTGTGGGATTGGACTTTAAAAAAAAAATGGATCTGGAGTCTGGATCGGCCGATACGCAATTTTTTTGGAAATATCGGCGGCCGATCTGATTCAAATACCGGATCGGTACCAGCCTAGTCCAGCCGAGTAAGGAGTCTCATCTCTGCTTACCTTTTCAGACTCTAACAGATGTTTTTCCCCACCCAGGTTCTGCTTCCCCTGCACCAGGGTGTACATCCAGAGCCGGCGGGGGGACGGGGAGGTGTACTGCCCCAGCGGCGAGCGCTGCCCGTTGGACAACTCCCCGAACAGCCCCCCCTGGGCCTTCATGCAGGGGGAGGTCTCCACCATCTTGGGCACCGGCGCGGCGGCGGCGGGCGGCGCCTCGGCGGCCGGAGCGGGTTCGGGGCCGGGGGCCGGGGCGCCGTCCGGAGCGGGCGGGGGGGCGCCGGCGGGCGGGGGCGGAGACGTCACCGTCAAGAAGGAGAGAGAAACGTGATGAGGAGCGCCACGGAAACCACGACCCGACGCAGCAACAGGCAGGTCTGCATCCCGCCTCAGAGGCTGAGAGGTAGCCCAAAGCTGCAGTTTGGGGCCGGATGCGTCCCGATCCGGTATCTGGATCAGATCGGTTACCAGTATTTGCAAAAAAATGAGAAAATGCAGATCCAGACTCCCAATCCTTTTTTTTTTTTAAGTCCAATCCCACACGAGCGTTAGAATTAGCTTCTGTAACCCAAAGGTCTGTGTACTAACCATTAAGTTGTTATCAGAGTAAATCCCTGTTCAACATGAGTCTGACAACTAAGTAAGTAGATAAATAACTTTAAACTTTAATACATGCTCTGATAGGCCGGGATTGGATAGGATCGGAAGTACAAAAAGCTGAATCAGGACATCACTAGTAGGGTTGTCACGATACAAAATGTTTTAACTCAAGACCAATACTCAGGAAAATGCTCAATACTATTTTCGATACCACAAGGATAAAAACAAAGACCCCAAAATGTAACTGAATTTGGTTTCAAACTGACCTGTTACTGATGTTATGGTGGCCCGTGGCCCGTATTAATGTTGGTGTGTTATTATTAGCCATTAGCCATAGCTAAAAATTCAAGGCTAACGTCACGTTATTGGTCATAAACAACGTAAATAAATAAATAAATCAGAGAGAAGGGGTTTGCAGGTCAGCGGGGGGTGGGTATCGATACTTTTGAAAATGAGTATCGTATCTGGATACAACGGTTTAGTATCAATACTTTTTTGAGTATCGATACTTTTGACAACCCTAGTCAGGTCTGCCTTCTCATCCCACAATCCTGTGCACACAGGGGGAGACGTCTACACTGGATCAACGAGGGACCCAGAAGAAAACCGACCCAACCACCGCCCACGAACCGGAGGTCCTCCCTCCGCCCACTCACAGATCGGCTCAGCGTGTCTCTGACAGAACGCCTTCAATCGTCTCCTCCATCGTTGGCTCCCGAACAGATGTCAGCATCGTCAAATCTTTCCCCCCAAATCAGACACTCGCCATGTAAAGAGAATGTAAAATAAAACACGAATCGCTCCTCCATCCACATTAGAGGAAGAAGTCCGGCTCAGGTTTTCAGAGACCCAGACAGAGGGTCCCGAGTTTCAAACTCCCGGATTGGAATGGAAACAGGATTAGAGTTGCTGGGGGGGGGGTCCTTTCTGGGGCTCAGACCCAGCTGACCGGGAGGCAAAAAGGAGAAAGAGCCCACAAACCTTCGGTGGTCCAGTTTTTAATCAGCCCATTCTTTCCTCCTCTGAGCCAGCCGGGCAGCTAAAGCCGCCGGCTGCCCGACGCCCGCCCGGCGTTTATGCCCCGCTGTTCCAATAAGGCTCCAGTTTGTCCCTGAAAAGTCCAGTTTGGAGCAGCTAAGACGAGTTCTTCGTTTTAAACCGGGAGCCAAAAGGCCTCAGTGCAGAGAGCCGGAGAGTTCCCAGTTCCCAGCTCTGCCTCCCAGTTCCTAGTTCCAGGCTCTGCCTCTTACTTTTCCAGTTCCCAACTCTGCCTCCCAGTTCCCAGCTCTGCTTCTGGGTTCCCAGTTCCCAGTTCTGCCTTCTAGTTCCCAGTTCCCGCCTCTGCCTCCCAGTTCCCAGCTCTGCGTCTCAGTTCCCAGTTCTGCCTCTTAGTTCCCAGTTCCCGGGTCTACGTCTCAGTTCCCAGTTCTGCTTCTCAGTTCCCAGTTCCCAGCTCTGCCTCCCAGTTCCCGGCTTTGCCTCCCAGTTCCCGGCTCTACCTCTCAGTTCCCAGTTCTCGGCTCAGCCTACCAGTTCCCAGCTCTGCGTCTCAGTTCCCAGTTCCCGCCTCTGCCTCCCAGTTCCCGGCTCTGCGTCTCAGTTCCCAGTTCTGCCTCTTAGTTCCCAGTTCTCGGCTCTACCTCTCAGTTCCCAGTTCCCAGCTCTGCCTCCTAGTTCCCGGCTCTGCCTCCCAGTTCCCAGCTCTGCTTCCGGGTTCCCAGTTCCCAGCTCTGCCTCCTGGTTCTTGGCTCTGCCTACTGGTTCCCAGAGCCCAAACCTGTGCCGGCTCCTCTAATCTGGATAGACTGAGCGGGGGGGGGGGGGGGAAAAAGGGGGGGGGGGGGGGCCTTTTTTTTTTTCTCTTTTTGGGGCCCCCCCCCCCCCCCCCCCAGTGGCCCACTTTCCCCCCCCCCCCCCCCCCCCCCCTCCAGCCCAGCCTCCGCTCTACCTGAATGTATCTCCACAGGTGTCTAGGACTGTTTTCTACTAGAATGTTCTATGTTCTACTCTGTAAAAACCCGCTCTAGGATGTACGTGCAATCCCCTCCAGTCTTAGTATATGCAGCAGTTTAAAGGCTGTTATCGGAGAGAACGGCAGGTTGTGTCCCATACCTTGAGTTTTAAAGGGAGATACCACCTGAAAACCAAAACGGGGGGGAGGGGGGGGGGCTCTGATGGGGGTTTGTGTCGTTTCTCAGACCAAAAAACCACGAAAACGAGCCAGACGTTGTTGGTTTTCAGCTGGTTTCTCTCTTTCCGCAAACCAAAGGTCAGCGGACCCCCCCCCCCCCCCGGTTTTTGCCGGGAGAGGCTCGTGCCCCCCCCGCCCCGGGGGGGGGGTCCGTCAGAGGAACGGGTTCCAGCAGAATATGCACTGATTTGTGATGCAATCCCTTGTTAAGTGCCTTTTTAAAATGTTTACCATCTGCTTTTTTCTGTGTGGGAGAGCTCACACTGGCCCC